GATATAATGAAAACAGTGCTTTTCATTTATTTTTTTTCGAATTCTTTGAGGTATAACTTTGGAAGGAAAAATTTTTTCATTAAAAAAATTGAGTATTTTTCAATAACCTGGTAATTCCAGGTTAAGGTTTACTGAAAGTGACTTTCTTTTCATTGGTCTTCCTGTGATACTGGAAGGAAGAGGGCCTCAAAATTCTGGCTACTTACCAGCATGGCAGCATTTTCTGCCTGAACTATAGTTTCCATAATAATTTCAAACTGTAAGTCAGTATTGTACGTGACATCCTTTTTCTGAACACATTTGTAATGCTGATAATTTTTACCACAACTTATGTAGATATCTCTTTAGTTATGATTAAAGGTAAAACTTAATTTTGTATGTGAAACAGCTTAACAGATGCCTCAGGTTTAGGAGTCTTAAATTTCTAATCTTATTCTATGCTTTTAACTTTTTTGTAGCCTTCTTCAGTCACAATGAATAATACTCAGCAGTTAAAATGGTGTAGACATTTAATGCCTGAACTATGCTTTTAGAGTTGTGCCAGCAAGCACTTCGCTTTCAAATAGAGGCTGTACCTCCCCTGTAAAGGGACTCAATGTACACCTTAGTTTGCACTTGACACTAGTACTTCTTGAAATTCTAATTCTAAATGTTTGCCTAGCCTGAATACTCAGGAGAAGAGTGATCTCCAAGGGTCTCAGTGAGCAGCTGTAGTCTTCTTATAGCTTGGCGTCCCTCTTGGTATTTAAATGAGGGAAATAAACATAGTCCTTAGGTTTTCCTAGTGGGAGATTACAGGATAATGAAGTTGCATTCTCTGCCATCTCCTAAAGTTATATGAGTGCCTTCTCCAATGTTGATTCTAAGAACTTTTTCTAAGAAGTATTCAGAAACTATGTAAGCGGTGATACGAACTTCAAAGCATGTAGAATATGATGGCCTATTTATACACCTGGATGCATCTCTCTATAAAACCTTGCTAAAGGCCGGGCGCGGTGGCTCACGCCTGTAATCCTAGCTCTCTGGGAGGCTGAGGCGGGCGGATCATTTGAGCTCAGGAGTTC